AGTGGAATTGCATACCTCAAGTTAGGGATATGTGTTATTCTTTCTGGTATAATGCCTGACTACATGTTGTCAGGTTTATATTGTTCAGTTCATTACAGCTTATTATGCCAAGCATAGTAATGCAGAACTAAAATGCATGACTTTATTTCTATTTGTTAACAAACATCTTTATTGGTATATTATAAATCACAGAAGTTTTTATAGAAGGGACATTTTTTCTGCAAAGTAACATTTTATTTGGCAATCTGTAATTAAAAAAAAAGGAAAAAATTGCACTGCCTTCTTGTGTATTTAAAAAAAAAAACTCAAAACCTCAAAGCTTGCAAGTAATTTCATTAGGTTCATAATTCAAATGGCAAGTTATTATTAATCCTGTTTTACAGACTTCTTAAAGTTTTGTTGCCCCACTTAGCTATTTTTTAATATGCTCTTATCCTGAAGATTCTGAAGTTTTCTAATTATTGTATGACCTCTGTTTTTTTTGTGTGTTTGTTGGGTTGGTCGTTTGTTTGTTTTGTAAGAGGTCTTTGATTGGAGTGCCTGGGACTGACTCAAGTGTCAGTTAACATTCATCATACAAAAAGTTTAGGAAATCTGGGAATTACAACAAAAAGACATACCTGAATACCTCTTCATTCTTCAACTTGAAATTTTGTGAAGCTTAGTCGAGTACAATCTTCTGTTTTGTACACTGGATAATATCCACAAAGATCATTTTTTCTTTTCTTCAAAGTGTTATGGCAGCATGTTGTGCCTTTTTTCTGTTCTGCCTTTTTCCTCACTACTTCCTATTGTAAGGTAAACTAGTGTCACTTTTAAGAGCTGCATGCCAGTCTGCCAATTTTTGGTTTTACTGGCTGATTAGGTTAGAACCTGTTTTTGAAATTAGAGTAGAAGAGCAAACAGCACGGTGATCTTCATGTGTATGTATATATTTGAGTTATATGCTACTTTGTTGTAATACTTGGCATGCAGTTTTCTTTGTAACTATTTCAGAACACTGTTATTAGCTAGCTAGCTGTAACTGCTTAAATTTTACAGATGGGAAATGGGATCACTTTTGTAGTTCTTGCCACGTTGCTGGCAAGTTAGAAGGAAAGAAAATAGGAATTCAGCAATTAGGCTCCACTCTGATAGGAAACTTATTTCCTCTGAAGAGCAGGCAGCATGTCTTTGTCCAAAAAGAATTACCCTCTGTCCCTTCAAGTTGTTACATCCCTCTGTTTTTCAATATAGGTTCTGATGGGGAGAGTACCTGACCGTGGAGGCAGACCAACAGAGATTGAACCACCTCCTCCTGAAATGCCTCCGTGGCAAAAAAGACAGGAAGGTGGTGGAAGAGGTGGCTGGGGAGGTGGAGGTGGGGGTGGGAGGGGTGGCTGGGGTGGGGGAGGGGGTAGAGGAGGAGGTGGGGGTGGCTTTGGAGGTGGGGGTGGCTTTGGAGGTGGGGG